TTTACAGTAAGGCCGCTTTTCGTTCTATATGTATTTTGTATGTACTTGTATTCCGTACTCGCCACGTGCACATCGACAACGACGGCCACGGCAGCGAGCTCTGCGGCTGTACTCGTATCTAGAAAATCTGCATGGCTATGTATGTGTGTGTGTGTGTGTGTGTGTGTGTGTGAGTGTAAGTGTGTATGTGCGGGTGTGTGAGTGCGTATGGCACTGTGTACTTCACCTTTGTATAAATAGATGCCGCAGAGCTCTCCCCAAAATACCCATAACGGAAAATTTGCGCGTCCTTTAATAGCATTAAATATGAGCTATGCATGTTGATTACACAAAAAAAAAAAAAAATAAATAAATAAAATAACACACATACAAAATATTATACGAGGGCGCTAAAATATGCTTAAGCAAGGAAGTGTATTGAATTAAAATGCTGCAAACGACAGGCAGCGGCAAACTGCGATGCTGCAAACAAAAATGAGGGACGCGAACAAAAAATTGAGCCACACCATTTTTTCTTTACTTCTGTTTCCAGAGAATTACTTCATACAATATTGAAAGTTTTTCCCAGAATTTATTTCAAACGAGCTCAGATATTGGAAGGAACCTGTATACCCTTCATGGTGCCTTACCATCTTTCCTTACTGTCTTTCTTCAAGGTAATGGGCCGCGAGAATTTTCTTTAGTAGAAAACGTTCCTCACCTTTTTTGCATTTGGTCATGGGTGCTAACTTTGTTTACATCATTCTCAATATTAAATTTGGTTCCAATGTCCCAAAAACCCAAATGTTTTTCATGCAAAAACTCTATCTGAATTATATCGGTTTTATGACGGCTATATGATAAAATGATCCGAACGACATGTTCAAAAGAAGCCACGGTGTTAGAGCTTCAACACAATAGCTCTTAAACTGTATGTGGGGTACTAATTGGAATAGACAGATGGACGGACAGGCGGTATTGCGACTTGGATTTGTCTCGACAATCTGATGTGGTCTACCATTCTTTCCTCTGGATGTTATCAGTAAAGGACATACAAATATATAAAGCTAAATAAGGCTAAAAAATGAATGGGAATATTTTTCACAAAACACCCATTTCCACTATCTTTGCAATACTTGTATGCACAATTGATGCTTTCACATTAGCGAAACGAAATAAATGTCCGTTTTCAAAACGGTCTCAACATGTTGGATAAGAGTAAAAGGCCTGAGATATTTTTTAAGAGGGATCCAATCAACTGCACGTTTTGCTAGCAAAGTAAAAGCTGCTGAAAGCTGATGAGGTAGGAACATATTGAAGAAATATTTTTAAGCCTCCAACTAAAACGGTTTGCATTACGATCTTATCCATAAAGTCACACATACTACTTATTTTTCCATGCTTTGCAGCCCTGTGGCGAAGTGAAAGCAACTACACACTCGCGCATTATGTGTATTAGCATGCAGAATGAGAGAATTAGTATTTAAGTAAGTTAGTTAGTGAGTGAGTGGGTGGGTGAATGAGTGAATGAGCGACGGACTAAATGAATGACGGCTTGGCAATGGAAAATGATGCTACTTATCGTTCTGCCTGGGTCCTTCTGCCTGTGTGTTGGCATTCACGGCCTTACTTAACATCAACACCAGCATTCATAGCACCAACAACCACAACAGGACATCAGCAAAAACAAAATCCACAAAGTGAACGCTTCCTGCTTTTGGCGCATATCTGAAGCATTAGCCGCCCTCCCAACATTCCGCTTTTCTGGAGCTTTCTTCACTTCCGCACACCCCACTCTCGCTCCAGCCCCGCCCAAGTATCCAAACACCCAAACACCCAGACACCCAGAGCACTCGCAATGCATCGGTGCAAGTTTAATTTACTAATTAAATGTTGCACAAAGGTAAAGCCGAAAGCTTTAAGCTCCATAATGTTAGCGGCTTGTATTGTTTACGCTTGCAAAGGACTCTATTGGATTCTGGCCCTGTCGAGGCTTTAGGTGCCGCGTGTATGATGAGCGGGTAGGGTGTAGGGTGTAGGGTGTAGGGTTTGGGCGGGCTTCGGCGCTTCCAAGCTAGACTCGCCTTTGTGTGGCAATGAAAGTTGCTGGAATTCAAATACAATATATTGGGATTAGAGCGATTTAGGGGAATAGTTTGTTTGAGACTGTGGCTTGGCTTTATTGCATTGTGTGCGTAGGCAGAGCATCAAGGCTAAATTTATTTTCGATACGATTTGTATCGCAATAGTATTGGGCGCTTATCATGCGCTTGAAGGGAACGTAAACGTTTAAGTGCTGAGAAAATGTTGATTAACTTTCGACTGCAATTGATATGCTCCGCAAATGACAATCAACTTCACTGCTCAATATATTAATCATCGTTGGATCAGACTTGCATTATCAATTGAAAATATATGGGTTTTTTTTTTTGGAAATTTCAATTGTTGCAACATTGTCATTTAATGTATCTGCATATTACAAAAAATAATATTGGCACTCTCAATAGTGGTCTGTATTTTAAGGGACGACAGAACAATGCTATTCAACAATAAAATCAGAAACTTATCTTTTACACATACATATAAGCGTGTAAATCAAACCCAGTTAAGAAAATAAAAGTGAAAATGTGAGCAAGAGATGGAATGAAAAAAGCTAGCATTAAAAATTTAAAAAATACATCTTTAAATAAATAAGAGTCCTTCTACAACTTTAATAATTACAAGCTCCAGACTTGGATTTAAAATTATAATGGCTCAAATTTCATTGCCAACATCATACATTGAAGCCTTTTGATTTTAAATTATTTGGGGTTAAGAAGACTCAATTCTAGCCGTAAATACACACTTCTGGCTGTTTTCTGTACATACAGCTACTTCAATTGTTTGCATGTGTGTGTGTGTGTGTGTGTGTGTGTGTGTATGAATATATATATGAGTGAGTGTTCATGTAACAAGAAGTTGTTTATATGCCATTAAGGTGTTTGTCAAACATAAACAACCAAACAGAAACAAAAAGCAAACATGCCGTCACGCACTGCCAAAGTAGTTAGTGAAATTATTGCGAAATTGATATCAATAACAATTGTTTGCGCACTTCACGCGTCTCTCAATGCAAACGCATTAAATATTTAATGCTAATTAAGTTGCACATCCCGTGCAGGAAAGCGTCAGTGTGTGTGGCAAATAAATGTGCGCGTGTGTGAACGACATGCAAATGGAAAATTTGGCTGACAGACTGACAGACTGACAGACTGACACACTGACTGGATAACTTGACATGCATGCCACAAGCAGCTGCTGCCGACACGCTTTCTGGCGTTCGTGGAAGACGGTGGAGTTGGGGTCGACACCACAAGCGGGATCGGCATCGCCGTGAAGAGTTCTCCTTCCTCCATTCCATTCTCAGCTTTAGCTTTCTTGCCAGTTCTGTGACACTACTGTGCGTATGCATGGGAGTGTGCGAGTGTGTGCGAGTGTGTGAATACGTGAGTGTGTGTCTGCCATTTGCCATTTGCCATTTGGACAAAATGAAGCATTAAATTACCCATGCCAGCTTAACAGCTTGCACTCGTTCACTGGCACTCGGAGCCCTCGGGCTTCAACTCGTCCTCGACTTAAGCACTCGCATCAGCGCTCTGGCGCTCAACACAGCTATGTATATAGATGTATATGTATATATGTATGTATATAGGTGTACGAGGAGGTCGTCTTTTAAGGCATTGCCGAACGACATTGTGACAGAAAAACATGTACGGATTTCTTTGCATAAGACCATTGCACAATTTTATAAAATTTATAGCTACATATTTCATTAAGCAATAAGCACTTGGGCATTATGTCACTTTCTGTCATCAATAGTGTCGGCAAAATGCAAAGTATAATTTGAAAAATAAATATAATTTTAAATGACACATCTCAGTGCACTTTCCACAAATGTGTTGTGCCATGCAAGAGTAATTAATGTGATAATGTCATAAATGAATGTATATTTAAATGATTTGCAGCAACATCGGAGAGTTGTTCATGCGATGCTTTGTATTTCACATTCGATTAGTCTCTAAGTTTAAGCGTTCATCCATGTGGGTAAATAAATGGAAATGTTCTTTTCACATTATTGCCAACGAACTCATCGAGGGTCCTCACATGCATCATACTAAGCTGCAATGATTCCAATTATGAACGGACAAAATGCCGGATGAGTTGGCGAATAAAGGCTTTCCGTGGTCAATTGGGGTGGGCCGAAGCAATTAGCCCCGGCAGTACGACAAAATACGAGTATATAAGTCGATTAGATACCGGACCTTACAGTAATTAATACTTTGTGAAATAATCCAATCAGATGGCTTCAATTCCTGAGCGTCCACAGAAGAGCACTTGTTGAATTAATCATAGGTCACAACACAGATGGACAGCATATGGCCAATAAGGGCTTTGCTCACGAGCCACTTTGCAAGCGTGTGCTGGAGGGTTACTTCCAGTGCCACTGCTTCTGAATTTCAAGGCCATGAATGCGCACTTAGGGAGCGGCAGGCACTTTATTTAACTGAAGTTCACACTTCACAAAAATCAGGTATTTAATTATTTGGAAAGCAATCACATACAATCGCTGTCAAAGTATTACCCATATTGTTGATTTAGCCACAAAATGGCATCACTACACAGGCAGCAAGGAAATATCTATATCTATCTATAGAAGAAGGTATCAGCCGTCGTCTAACTTAAATACCTGTTCCTTATTTAGCCAATTGTACCACTATCTTAGAGTATTGATCGTGGTCACGCTCATCTCTGAATTGAAGAAAATGTTGTTTTAAGTATCTCTGACAGCTTGATTCAAAACTATTCCCCTACTACTTACTTACGAACTGGAAAGTCGACTACTGCCTTCCTCTAAAAAATGAAGCAACTCCAGCAGTTCGGACGTTGATTTATTGTTGCAGTCGGGGTTCCTACTTGTATTTCGACTAAGCAGCAGGCCTACATGTTTAATGTCAGAAGGCATAAGAACCTTACATTCTGAATCAAACTCACTAAACAAAAGGGGAACAAGGAAAAGGAATAACTAACTGCAAATCCACAGAGACAGTTCCTTATATTGAGTTTTGCAAATAAGCTGTACCAGGTAAGCGCATCTGTTGCCATAGAGGCTGATAAGTGGTGATGATCCGTCCTTCCTTCCGCACTCCCTCCAACGCTACAGTTTGCTATTGCATATAGACATGGCATCAGGCATTGTGGTTTCAATGAAGTGCAAAAACGCCTTCGAGCAGATTCGTAGACAGAAGATGCATCGTTACATCATTTTAGCGATTCGTGGCGAGCGCCAGATTGAGGTTGAGATTGTGGGACCTCGCGATGCCAACTACGAGAACTTTCTGGAGGATTTGCGCAAGGGCGGGCCCGAAGAGTGCCGCTATGCAGTCTACGACTACGCCTATTATCATCAGTGCCAGGGCGCTTCCTCAACTTGCCTTAAGGAGAAATTGTTCCTCATGCTCTGGTGCCCTGTTCAGGCTAAGATCAAGGACAAGATGCTCTACTCCAGCTCCTTTGCTGCTCTCAAGAAGGACTTCATAGGGGTCCAAAAGTGTATTCAAGCTACTGAAATGGACGAAGCCTGCCGCGAATGTGTCGAGGATCAGCTGCGCTCTCTGGATCGCGACTAAGAAGAAGAACAAGTGCAAGAACGAAAGCAAGATCGAGAAGCAACAACAATCCACATAAGCGACACGCCACCATTTTGTAATATTTTCAAATTTCTACGTTTATATCTTTTCCAATGTTTCTGGCAACTCGAGCATTTTGCAATGCTCACCAAAAAGGACACAGAATCGGAGGCCGACAGACAAACGTGCATAGACATGGAATATCTCTGTCTATTCTCAGCCAGGTCACAGGTCACCCATCACCGTTTCAAAGTTCAATCAATCAAAACAGTCGGCCACATCCACACACATCTTTATACATCTTCTGAATATAAACATGTGTGTACATATGTTGCTTAGTTTTAAGAGGTGGGGGGACAGCCGACGGCTGCAATTTAATTTGATTTCGTTGAGCCCTCCCAAAGAGTCCTGCGATTCTGGCCAAGGGTTACGTCTGGCTAGTGGGTTGGGCGCTCCCATTGGCACTTTGCAAATGTTTGAAGGCAAATATACATCCACACTCATAACTTACCAAATGTAATTTGTTATGCCGCCTTCTGTACTTCTTTGTGCTGTGGTCGGCCCTTCGACCTGCGCCCCATTTATTCCATCGAGGCCAAACCGCGAGCGAGTTCAACCGCCGCAAAAGTTTTGCATTTGAGATTTTATCTCGTTCCCGTTCCCACAACTCGGCGAAACTTTTCATTTCATCGCCAGTTTAGTGAAATTAATCGAATCAAAGATGAGCACGTCGGACATCAAGTGGACCGGGGCCAGGTTTGAATTGAAGAACCATTAGTTGAAGGGGAGCAGCATAGCACATCTCTCGCAATATTTGAACTGCTACTTGATGCTAGCATTTTGTCGGGCATAAAGGGGGCTAAGCGTTATTATAAAACTAGGAATAACAGAGGTTTAAGAGGTGGCCATGATAAAGAGCTGGTTTTTATTTCGCTACAAGTTCGTATAAATAAGATTGCCTAATTAAATAATTGTGCCAATAATAACGAACGATTTATTTCAAGCTTTTTAAATACTATCCCATAGATTCCAATTTTAAAAGCGATAATCAGTAAGACTTTTTAAATGGGGCAGCCATTTTGGTGGATGGTTTCAATAAAAATTTGGTGGGTGTGCCCTAATCATCGTCCGGAGGATGAACTTCAACTATGCCTACAATAAATATTAAAAGGTTTGCTAAATAAGCAGCCACAAAAATATTAATTATTTGCTCTATAAAACTATTTCTCCCACTCCATAAATATTTATAAGCTAAAATAATGAGAGTGCACAACAAATGTTATATGTTTAAAACATCGTAGCTTTATTCTACAACTACAAGATCGAATAGGGCTTACACAGTTCAATATTTCCTTCCTTCCGATGCTCCAGAATTGTGTGGACGCGAATTCAATCGAATTTGCAAACAAACAACTGCAACTGCGATTGCAATCCACTAGCAGGCAGGCAAGCAAATCGATTGCAAAGAGAGAAACTATTTTCCGGCATTTAAGTGCCTATGTAAGTGCAACAATGTCGCATCATTTGTGCCAACGACCTGGGGCAGTATCGCTTCGAGTCGCTCCGCTGCTGCTCACCCCCCACAAGTTTGCAGCACTTGCCACGAAATGCCGCAAGTATTCCCTCGCGATTGCAGAAAAATCGCAGATCTAAGAAACAAAGCGTGAACAAAGTTCAATAAACGTAACTAAATGTGAAAGGAACGTGACAGAAGAGACAACAAAAGTTTCAAAAAATGTGCTTAACCATAAATTCCAAGTATAGATACTCAAACCCCTCTACACACACACACACACACAAACACACACACATGCATGTTTCGGTTAAAAATCAAAGCAAATGCAAAAGGGAAATCGAACAGAGCAAGAAACACGAGCCAAAAATCCTCACAAATCTAGTGGAAAATTAAAATTTTGCCAATTTATGCATGCCAGCCAGGGACTGATAGAAAGTGCGAGTCTGGCGGTCCGGGGGGAAGGAAAGGGAAGGGGTGTGGACAAGAGTTTATTGTGGAGGCAAAGGATTTCCATACTTCGGGATACGCCAACTTCATTTGCATGCAACTTTATGAACAATCGCTCGAAGCCTTCACAGCTTTGTGGATTTGCGGCTATCAGACTGCCTCCTCCCACCCCCCCCCCCTTACCCTCACCCTCCTCAGACACACTTAGCCATCTTTGGATGGGAGTTAGGAGTTTGGAAACGCTTCACTTTCCTTATCAGTCCATATCAGCATCATTATTTTCGAAGTCTGTCTGCCATGCCCGACTGCCTGTGACCGCCAACTCGTTACCGCTTGTAAAAACTGCAAATTGTGCCAAAAGCGTAAGTTTTTATGGCTTTGGCGCAGTTTGTTATTATTATTGCGAATGTTTTTGCTGGCTTTTAATTAAAATGCCCAAAATTGTGGTGTACTTGTATGTGGCTGTCTAAATTACTGCAAACGTCCAGACACTGCACATAAATTGGCAATTAAAATTGTCGGTTAAGTGCTCAGCCAAAAGTTACGGTGCCACCAATAAAGAAAATTCCAGCTGAACATTCTAACAATATTAGTAAATCAATAACTAGAATGTATTGCATGTGCTTATTGTGAATTCCTGCTTTAATAAGTATTTGATCTATGCATTAAATTATTTATAATTAAAAATTATGTTTATGTCCGAACGATAAGTATTTTGATTGTTGCTTTTGTTGATTATTCTTTGCAACATTGCAGCTTACCAGGCCTAAAAAGATTAACAAAGAACCAATAAACGGACTAAAGAAGCGAGTCGTGATAGTTTTAAGTGTAATATTTGAAAAGAAACTTTTGAGTGCACAGAAAATGTTGACAAATAATTTATGACACTGCACACGAATACTAAAAATAGTTTTTTAGTATAGTACTTAATTTATTTACAATTTATACATTCATTTACTAATTAATATGTTCTTTGAAACTGAATCATTGCTTTTATTGAATTTTTTAATTTTTGGCCAACATTTTTTCATCAAACTTTAAATGAAGATGTCAAACCAAAAATACAAGTATTCCAACCACGCATAAAACAATTCAGATAATAAAAATTAATCATAGAGTCCTACAGAAACTGTTTGATATTTGTTTAAGTGGTGTTATTGTTGCTAAGCAGCAAGGGCAGTCAAGGTTACGGGCCACACATACCTTGCCTTCGCATAGCTTGCCCAAACATGCCTGCCTTTAATTTAGTTTCCGTCCAGTTTTAGTCTCATAACTTTAAATGAGTTTGCACAAAAGTTTTGCATAGCCCCGGACCACTTAGTTCCCAACCTCTTAGCTCCCCACACAACTCATGTCAATCCGCCCTATCAAAATATTTTCGCTTTCAATTTGCTTGCCGTGCCACGCGACACTAAACCAATACTGTCATAACGAGCTTATGCCGCATACCAAGACATTTAAGCGGCTTAGACACCAGGCCACTAAGCAAAGAGACAAACGGACAGACACCGGTACAGGCAGATGGACAAAATCCGAGGCAAACGCCTCCGCCAAGGCGCGACATTGAGTCGCAAAATTCGCGCGCATTACACAAGTCACAGCACGTCTCGCCTTTATTAATATCTTATTTAATTATACTTACTTGTTGTTCTTATTGCCGGTCTCCATCGCATGTGGATTGTTGCTATACCCTCGCAATACTTACAATATCGGAATGGCGAGCGAGTACAAGTATAATCAAAAGTCCGCCGTTATCGAAACCGATATTTAAATGCCCGTCTGCCTGCGTCCGCTATTGAACCATAAAAGCTAAACAGAGCTTACCACTCATCGGTGAAAAAAGGACAAAATCATTTTTATTCGAGGCTTCATAGAAATCGTCACATAGCAACGATTGATGTAATTACCTTTATTCTAGTTCAGATGACTTAGGGAGAGGGGGGGCGTGTGCAGAGTACACAAGAATCGGCGTTACGTAATCGTAGCACTCATTATTTGTTGTTAATATTTTGGCTGTCATCGGCTCCTTTTGGCGCTCGCCTCTCAAGTCCAAGGCACATTTTTGACGAGCCATCGTAGCTGACCATGCAAATGACATAATTTACTAGTAAAGTTTTCCAAAGTTCAAGACTTTGTACAACCAACTAACAGTTTAACTAAACTTGTCTTCTTATTTCCAGTACTTGACTCAAATTCAAAAGCAGGTGGTTGCTGCACCGTATAACGTTATAAACAATTCACAAGAGATGCACAAATTAGCAACATTTTGCAAAGTTAAAAGTCATTCAGGTGCTTAGTTTTCATGAAATTAAAAACTTGCTTGCAAAGTCTGCTTTTCAGTAGTTTCCTTCTAAGTAGTTTTGATTCCTTTTTTTCCTCACAAATATGCTAAATCTTTATTTGCATTTCTTTTCTTATACATACTTGCGTTATGATAATTTTTCTGCCACTTGGAGAGCATCTTCCATTATTATCAGATGCTGGCAGCTCCCCAAAAATGTACTAATAACATTTACTAACCCAAATCAGGCGATTGTGGGAATTGGTTGGGGGATTAAATGTGATTTTTTGTCAAAAAAAAAGTCCGTTGAACATTGGATTCTGAATTCCTGTGTGAAAGAGCGCAAGAACAACCTTTCACAGACGCCTTTGTTCGGTTAAAATGCGACAAAGTGTTGACTTAGAGACTCCTTATTCCACTTCCATTAATTTAATGGAAGATTTTGGCTGATTTAATTAATTACGAATTCTGGGTGATTAACACGTTTGTCGTCCCGACACGTATACATTACGTAGACCACTCGTGGACTCTATAGCGAGATAAGGAAATAAGCTTGTTTTGGGAATCATTGTACTGAGCGGTTTTGCATGCACTGGATGAAAACTCTTGAAGCAATTTACCGGAGACCAAATAAAAATCAGTAAGAGTTAGTCATGCATTTTTTTCTTCTTCCCAATTAAATTAAATATTCTTAAATTTGTACTCCTTCTAGTCGCCAATTATGAAGAATCTCAACATGAAGAAAGACTTTAAAGCCACAATAATTCATGAAAAAAAGCAACTTATTAGCATTGAATGAATAAAGGTTACAAAAAGTAAATTGGATTTCTAAATTAAGTTCGATATCAGCCATAACAAGTGCAATTGATTTCTGAATCACTTAATGGCACAGAAAATACTCTTTTGTACCACAGAAGTAGAGGTCTAAGTGGATCACTTAATTTTGAAGTTCTTGACTGCACAGCACTACGAGCATGCGAGTATAGTATGGTAATCAGATAATTCACTGAACCATGTGCACTAGCTCAGCGAACTAGGGGGGTGTGGCTGTTATTTCAGCTCTGGAAATAATGTCTGTTGTGAAT